GCAGTGCTCCTGTGCTTGTTTAGAGTGAAGAGGTTCTCATCTTGCCTAAAGAGGCACCCCGTCTGCAGGCAAACCGCAGCTGCTGCTGCTCTCCGGTGGGTAATTTATTTGCTTGGCCACACAACTTGGCACCAAGCATCAAGACCTCGGCGAGGGAGCCGGACACAATCGCCGTGGCAATCAACACCTTGAAGCACTGGCTGGGTGACAAACGGCTGGAGCTCACTGGTCCGGAAAAGCGTGCCAAAATCAAAGGGATTTTTGGGCCCCGCGCTCAATTTCGCGACGGCTGCACAACAGGGACAAAGAGACGTCTTACGGATGAAGCCGCTCGTCAACTCGCGATGAAATTGGTCCGCTCGACGCTGCTTTTTTTGTAATTCCTTTTTGATTAAAGGTCCTGTCCTCCAATCCAAGGAGAGGTTATTGCAGGATGCCTAAGCTGAAGGTGATGCATCAGTCGCAGGTCCTCAAAATACATCCTTCAAGATAAAATACAATGATGTCTCTTCTCTCGAGTCCTCGATGTGTGGGATACAGTGTTTGGAATTCTAGAACAGTTCCAGCCCTTTTCGGGTTTATGAATGCCACATGTCCTGGTACCTTTCACACTCCAGGGAATAAGAGGACATTTTGGATTGTGTGCGTCCATTAACAGGTGGTGCTTTTCATATCACTAACCAAACACACCATACTGGCATAAAGCAGAATTTCTCAACTCTGCTCCTGGAGTGCCTCTGCCCTGCACATTTTAGACGTCTCTCTGATTTAACACACCTGATTCAGGCGGAGCAGCGTATTAGTGAAGCACTCCATGAGCTGAGCTAAGTGTGTCAGAACAGAGAGACGTGTAAAACGTGCAGGGCAGAGGTACTCCAGGAGCAGGGCTGGGGAACACTGTTATTGAGCACTGGAACAGTAAGCTAGCACATAGCTGCAGCTATCATCATATCAAAAGATAAAATGCATAAACACTCCTGCCATTTTGTAATCTTATTGTGACTTTGAAACCATTCTTGAAACTGCTTTTACGCAGCACCCACTGACACATTCGTAACACAAGGTTACGCACGGTGAGGCCTTACCTTGATGCATCGAAGCTGTCGTAAGACCCGACAGTGTAGTGTCTGAAGAGTTTCCTCCTGTCCGATCTGTCTGCTCTGGTTTCTGCGGAGACAAGCGGAGTCAATAATCAATTACTGACCGCAACCTGCTCATCAATCATCTCGACCAATCTAACCGAGTGAAACATAAGATCGATCCGGTGTTTTCCGCGGTCAAATCCCGCCGGAATGGCGCTAATTTGCGGGATCTCTGCACCGCCGCAAAGTGTCAATTACGAACTCCCACAGCGGTAAGCTCTCGGGTTTCCCTTTCACAGGTTCACAGTCATCCATTGCTGTTGTGAAACCAGGTTAAGGAGCAAGGCAATGGCAGCAACCAAGTTCTCTTGAAAAGGCAACCTCTCACCTCTCCTCTTCACTTTTTCTTGACCTCACTTGAAAACATCACTCAGGTGAAGGGAACGCTGCAGGAAGATTTTAAAGGTACCTCGGGTTATGTTCAAGAAAAGTCGGATGTCCTTTCATTCAACACGGCATGAGCTCGACCTCAGAGATAGCCCTCGCAATTCATCAGAAAACCTCAGGATGTGAATGACATATGCAGTCACAACAGCTCCGTCTTTTCTTTCCTCCAAGTTTGGTCCTGTGTTTCCTTGCCAGAATGTAGCAGCTATGGAGCTAATTACCTCCTTTCCCTTATGAAATGGACAATTCCGACGCTCCTTGTCTTGGCTACGAGCCAAACTATTTCTGGTTCATGTCCCTTAGCGAAGAAGGTTCCTTGCTCTTTAAAGAAATCGGATGCACCCTGTGCCTAAGCCTTACTATAGTTGTCCACCTATTATCCAGCATTCCTATGTATGCGGCTCCAATTCCAATCTTCTGGTCTGTCTCACCCGATATCTTTCCTATCTAATGTCACCATCGTCTCCAGTCCTCTTTCCCCTTCAGAAACCTCCGGGGACTCGATGGATCTTCGATAAAACTGAGAAAGAGACGTTTCCCTTGCCCTGAATCTCGTCTCTCGGGGTTTCTACTCGTCCTACATACAATTCTGTCTGACCCCATTTCATTCCGTCAGATGTTCACCTCAGTCGACTTTGTCTCTTCATCCCAATATACCATTACACTTCAATTTCTCAGGCATAGTCTTTGGTAGTTGATTTTTAGCGCCACCCAAATCTGTTCTGAATCATAATCCTTCAATGTGCTTTAGGATGTAGCTCAGATGTGCTTCACGGGCTGCCAACACATTTAATAAACCCTGGCGGCTCATCGTATCCAGAGTCGAATCGCTCATTCTACTCCACACACTCGCAGGTCCTGGGGTACTATGGTGAAGGGGGGCACGCATATAGGGCAGATTATTTAAATCACAACACAACCACAGCAGCGCCATCTTTCTATATAGATACAGTGGTCTGTAGGGACTAAATAGCACACAGCTAACAGTGCTGAGTCACTGAGTCAACAGACCTCTGGACACCACTGTATTTTCTGTAAAAGTACACAGTGCTAACGTAGGAAACGCACAGGAAAGGTGCTTCAGAGAAACCTCCTTTTAAGGAGACCAGGGCACTTGACACCCACACAAATACAGAGCGGAGAGCTGCCGCGATTGATATTCAAGTGCGGCTAGGAAGAATAAAACAAGAAAGGAGGAACAAAATGCAGCATTAGAAATAAAAATACCTGGTAATGCCACCGGTGAAAGCAGAGTACAGGGAGAAAGGGTGACCTAATCAGAGCACTGGATAGGGAGGAGTACCAGTGAGAAGACCAGATTCCTCCTTTTCACAGCCATTACACTTCATTCCTGGCGCTGTTAACCCTTTAAAGAGCACATTTCTTCTTTTTTTCAAACGGTCAGCGTTCTAGAATGCCGCTACATTACCAGTACCAGTGACTGTGACATCAGCAGAAGAATCTTCTGTTAAAATCACATTCTCATCACAAACTTCTGACCTTAGATCGCAAAAAGGATTAAGTCTGGTCAATTTTGAATGTTACTCATATGCCCCATTTGAAGCTTGCTAGAGGAAAAGCCCAACCTCTGCACCATCCCCTACACACCCACACCCACACCCACACACACACACACACACATCGCAAGAGTGATGCGACAGTTTCACTGTATAAGTGGTGATATCCAGCACAGCACACACACTGATAAATTCCCCTGCCCTGTCACCGCGTGCTGAGAGCTCGGGCACAGGAGAAAGGCTCGGGGCCACACGAGCAGTGGGACGATTACTGCCACCGCTAGAGCACAGAGGCGCCTGTGCAGGTGGGCTAGCGTTTCGTGGGTGACGGTACAGTATATGGATCTAGCTATAGAAAAATAACTGGAGCCTTTCACCCGTCGTAAAGAGAGAGCTAAGAACAGGGCCTGGGGTCACGCGCTTACCGTCACACAAGCGGACGAGGCTGCGACCAAACGCCTCATTAAACACGGGCTCCTGCGAGGTCAACTGAGCCTGCCTGAGGGGTCAAATCCAACCCATCAGTAAGAAGCTTCTCTGGGGAAAAGCCAAAGAGCTCAACCACACCGCCAGCTGTTAAAGTCGCACTGCGGGCCCAACGGCCATTACAACCCGAGAAATTCCTTTTGCAATTCTGAAGAGGTCAGGGGGCAACAAGACTCTTGGGAGCCAGATACCATGAAACACTGACCTAGTTCTAGTACATAGTCCATGCAGGCGATCAATGCTCTTCGAACACTTCATAAATAAACGGACTCCATTAAAGCATTCCTTGAATGTTATGGCACATACCTTTACCAGCTTATTGGAACTACATATGCACACAGCCATATAGTAACGCCTCTCAACAACGGACACTGATCACAACCAAACAAGGTCGCCCATGCTTCACTTCTCTTCTCCTGAGGTAGTACACTTATTTGCCTGGATGGGTTTACAGCATCATTACCTTGAGGTAAATTTCCTCTCTTTAGCCTGAAGAGCCACATCAGTGCCTGTGGTAGCCGTTAAACCAGTAGAGCGCGCACAGAGCCTTTCTATGGACAGTAAAACCAAGGTAAAAGTCAACGCAAAGCGCTGATCGCTATGCCATACCTATGCCTACCACACCTTCCTGCACCCTCAAAGTTGATCTTTTGTCCCTGCAGACAACTGACCGTAATTGCCCTCGACCTTTGACCCAGTGACTTCCAAAACCTAATCATTACAGCCACCCTCTGAGAGGAGTAAACATGTCTGGATTTCATGAAAACCCCCCTGCTCCTTCAGCTATATTGCACAAACAAGTTATTAGTGACGGATGGTGCGATGGACGCTGGCACGGACAGACAACCAGAAATCAGTATGCGTCTCACCAACCGTGTGTGGCATAAAAATAGCCCACTTGACATGCAGAAAGCCCATTGTACAGCCACCTACCACAGAACACTAAAAAACTCTAGTACTACTCCACCAGCTTTGAGTTACAGATTAAATTAGAATGCTTATTCAAATTAACACAAAAATTCTGCAGGCGGCATCCAGGAAACAGATTATTCACACTGGACGCCCGGGGGTCAGTAAAATTTTAGCAGCACCAGAACGTGCTAACGTGCTAATCGTAAGCCGCCATCAGTCACATACCCTGTCTGTCTTGCCAGCATTTGCAATTAAATTTGTGTAAGACATGAGAGGAGATGCATGGCACATAACATAGCTGCCATCACCTCTGAAGAGTGCTGATCAGAGCCAGAGACTCACTCACACAGAGACTCACACGAACGCTGCCATTCTACAGGCAGCAACGCGAGCAGGGACAGAGACATAAGACACATCTGACGCCAAGCAGGAGCAGTAGCACAGCACACAGAAATCACTTACAAACACTAACATTATTTTAGTATGAATATACCAACACAAACTAACACTACAATACAGTAACATTATCGACCATTAAAACATTATACACTGTGGAGATGCTGTAGCACAGTGGTTAAGTGTGCTTGATTTGGGATCAAAAGGTCTTGCGTTTGAGTCTTTGCCGTGGCTTTCGCGGTGTCATCTTGGATGAAATATTTCAATCCCACAATGCCTCATTCCACCCAGGTATATACTTGGGTTCCGGCAAATTGTCAAGAAAACCTAACTAAGAGCTGGGGGGGGACCTGCGATGGACAAGCATCCCATCCAGGGGGAGTAGCAATACTTCTAGTCATTTCATACTACTGAAACTGGGGTTAAGAACTAGCCTGATGAGCCACTTGCGCTCGGAACGGACTTAACACTACACACTAAGAACAGACACCGTTATCAAACACTATACCCAAAAAGTATACAATATCATACATTAATCATATACTATTATTATTCACTACCATTATGCCCTAGCAGAACATAATACTATCAGACACTGTTATACCCTGAGAATATTTATTACTATCACACTCTAATATAATAGACTATTATCATACAATAACAGCACACCAAAAAAAATATACACTATCAGTGTACACTAAAATTAGAACCTAACAGTCTACCCTACTATCATACTCTCACAATATACCCTACTATTAAATACTATTATCATACTCTAACATTATACCCTAACTATCAAATGCTGAAATTATACCCTAATACAATGCACTACAACCACACGCAAATATTATGCAATAACTGACCACCATTAAACATTAAAAACATAACCAATTATCATACACTAACAATATACAAAAACAGCATACACCACTGTCATACAAACATGCATTAATAGTACACACCATTATCATACATTAACATTATACATTTAACAGTATACACCATTCTCATACAATACATTTATTCCCCAACAGTATACACTGTTATCACAGGCTAACCTCATACACTAACAATATCCACTAGGGGCGCAACGGATCAAAAAACTCACGGCTCGGATCGTATCACGGATTTGAGTCACGGGTCGGATCACTTTTCGGATCAACGAAAAAAAAAAGACAAGACAAATATAACTTTGTCCTCCATTTATTTTATAAAACACTTCTGCTCATTAAATAAAAAATAAAAACTTAAATTATATAAAGACAAATTAAAGTGCAATTTAAGGCATGATACCTTCTTTTTTTAAACATGGAACATGAATGAAAAACAACTTAAAGTGCACTAAGCCATGATACTTCATGATACCTTCTGTTTAAAAATGGAGTGATTTAGAAACTAGCCTATGTCCACATCATCAAAAAAGAAGAAAAGAAAGAAAGCAAAGCATACCTCTGCTTATAATTTTAAATTATTTTTCAAAAAGATAAGGATGTCTACATTGTCTGGGGAGAGTGTACACCTTTTTGCAGTCACCCCTGCAGTAGAGAATACCCTCTCGCTAGGCACTGAAGTGCCAGGCACAGCGAGATAGCATCTTGCCATCTTGGCAATGTGGGGGTATTTACACTCATTGCTTTTCCACCATGTCAGTGGACCACCATCCACTGGAATGCCGCATTTATAAACTTAAATAGCCATTGAACAGCACATATTTGCATGAATTCGATTCAACCTTTTTTTTCCCAGCAGTGCAACCTAATTTATTTTAAGATTGCACTTCATCAAAATGTTTCCAAAAGAATAGGCTACTTTTGCGGTGAAGCGCAGCTGCACTCTATGCCACAAAGGGATAATAATGTAGGCTTTTAAATTAGCTACTAACGCTCTTGCGTCAAAGCGTTGGTAATTGAATGATTTAGTAAATTGGCTTTTAGAGCATTGTGAAAGTTCACCTCACGGTATGCATTTAAAGTCAATTCAAATGCAAGCTATGCATCAAACTTTTTATGGGGTCAAAATCAAAATCATTTATGGGGTCTTTATAGTCCGGCTTCTGGGAAAGTTGTACGGAGGCTACAATATGAGATTGTATAAACAACAATTATCCAGTTGATCATAAACAAAATATTAACCTTGTCTAAACATCTTCAGCAGCATTTGCTACTTAATATTCTACTAGAATGTAGAATTTCAAAAAATTCTGTTAATTGCCGTTTATGCGATCTCATTGTAGCCCTCCACTGACGCAAAGCTTTATGTTTTAATCATCAATGGTAATTGGTAAAGTATCTTGTCAGTAGCCTACGTGCTCTGTTATTTAATTCAACTAACTGTCCCATTCTAAATTAGAAACAGGTTGAGGGTTAACCTGCATTATGGTAATGTTACTGGCTGTAGATAGTTTTATTTTTACGAAAGCAAACTTAACACTCAGACCTCAGTTGGCAAAACTGCATTTAATAGAAAATTTTCTTAGGCGTATCAAGCAGGACACAGACAGAAAAAATGTATATGCCATTTTGTGAGCGACATGAATTCAGAAGCTTCTAAAGACGTTGCCATTTTATGTCACAATTAACGTGGATGGGGAAATGCTTGATAATTGTGATGAACAATGCAAGATGAGGGGAGCGGGACAGTAATTCAACCGACTGATTCTTGCATCTGAACGAATTAACACCAAGTTGCTAATTGGGAAACGTAAATGGGAACAGGTTTTGCGAAGGTATGGTGAAAGCAGGGCTAGGTAATCCTCCGATGGCAAGTCCAGGGTGCAAGAGTTTAAAAATCAGCTAAAACGCTATGATGAGAGATGGAGTTTGGACAAGGTTTTTTTTTTTGTAATTCTTTAGATTATTAGCATTCTTTCAATTTAACATTGTAGCGCAGTTACGTCTGTCAGCTCTTCTCTATCACTTCAGAATCATTATTGGCAACAGGCTAAATTGCTTGATTGTCATTTGGAGCATATTATACAGGAGCAGATTTAGGGTTGGCCAGTTGAGCCTTAAAAGGTGATGGATGCTGCCCAACCTCGCCGACAATTAGAGGAGTTCTAATCTGAATTATCTTCCCGGAAGCACTTCAAATGATTGTCGTTTATTTCAGACCGCTTGTATGTTTCAAGAAGAAATGGGACGCAACTGTGTACACACACCCCATAGCGGCAAGTTGTCTCATTTCGCTTTACGATCATCGCAATTCGATAACGTCACACCCCCAGCACAACCTTTTTTTTCCATCAACCAATCTGCGGATCATGTGCGTACCGAACCGTGAAGAGGGATCCGTACGGATTACAGATCAACGATGATCCGTTGCACCACTAATATCCACTATTATCATACACTGACAAACACTATACATCATACACTAACATTATACCCTAACTGTACCCGCACATATTGCATATGAACATGACACAATAACATGGTAACATTATACATTGACAGCATACGCCAGTGGTCTCCAGCCCTGTTCCTAAAGAGCTACCATGCAGTAAGATGTTAAAGTACGCACCATCATCATTCAGTAACATTAAACCCTAACAGTATTCCCTATTATCATGCACTAACAGTGTATCCAAACAGTATGCACAATTTTTACACCTTAACATTAAACAAGAAATACAATAACATTATACCCAAACATTATACGTTATTATCATAAACTAACATTATATCCTAAAAGTAAATGCAATTCTCATACCCTAACATACCCTAATAATACTATTATCATGAACTAGGATTACACAATAATAGACACTAACATTGACAATATACAGCATACACCTAGTATACACTGTTATCATACACTAGCATTATACAAAAACATAGGCTCTGTCTCATTTGCAAGGAGGCTTCCTTTCACCTCCGTACCTAGTTAGGACCCCTCTTTATTCAGAACCATTCGATAAAAAGGTTACATGAAAAGAAACACTCTAACTAGGAAGCATCACATGACTGGCACAGTTTATATTGCAGCGCGGTGTCAGCCGTTTCCATGGGAAACGTTAACGTTAGCTTTCTGTCAGTCCAGTTCTTGTAGCTTCAACGCTTCGAAAACACTGGCGCAAGTTTTTAATTCAACGTCATTTCCCACAAAAGAGCCAATATTCGAAATCTACGCAGTCAATTTCTCGCTTAAAAAATGATCTGAAGCGAATTTTGAGATGAAACAATATGTGAACTTGATCAAATACCCACTGTTGCCGTCCTTCGTCTGTGATCAATACAGCGAATCCCCAGCTTGTTGCAAGGCATTTTGGGATTTCCTTCGCTGTGAAGGAACCACTTGATGTTTCTTTAAAATTTCGCTGCAATGAGGTATATGTTTCCTATGCTTCCAACTGAGATGAGACAGTCCTAAGCGGCTATATTTCCTAAAAATGCCACCTACTTAGGATGCTTCCTTGCAAATAGACAGAGCCACACACTGACATTGAACACATACAGTATACACCACTATCATACACTATTATCATAAACTAGTATTACACAATATACACTAACATTGAACATATACAGTATACACCAGTATCATCCACTATTATCACACAATAACGTTACACAATAACAAACACTAACATTGAACATAAACACTGAACATATTCTGTATACACTAATGTCATACACAATTATAATACACTAGCATAATACAATAACATACACTAACATTGAACAGAGACAGTATAAACCAATTCATGAACTATTATCATACACTAGCATTACACAATAACATATGCTAACATTGAACAAATACAGTATACACCAATATCATAAACAATTTTCATATACTAGAATTACACGATAACATACACTAACTACAGTATATATCAATATCATGCACTATTATCATACACTAGCATTACACAATACCGTTTACTAACATTGAACACATACAGTATACACCAATATCATAAACAATTTTCATATACTAGAATTACAAAACAACATACATTAACAGAGAAAACATATAGTATTTATCAATATCATACACTATTATCATACACTAGCATTCCACAATAGCATACACAAACATTGAACACATACATTATACACCAATATCATTCACTATTATCATACACAAGCATTACACAATAGCATACACTAACATTGAACATAAACATTATACACCAAAATCATACACCATTATCATAAACTAGCATTACACAATAACATACACTAACATTGAACACGTACAGTATACACCAATATTCACCATTATCATACACA